CTATAGGTTACACAGCAATGAGAGGGTGGTCTAGGGGGTGGTCTCTGGGTCTCCATAGGAACATTATCAGTAGGGTGAAAACTCCACCTACAGGAGCCTGTCCATTGTCCCCAGAGGCAGGGAGCAGCCCCACCCCTGTGGAGGGATGAGACAGCAGTCTGGCAACTGAGTGCCTTTAGGGGAGGGAATGCCTGCGCATCTGACCTCCCCCCACAGGTTAATCTAGGATAATTAGTAAGGAATCCTGTATGATGTGACATTTAAATCGGCATTGTCATAGAATAGTGGAAGAAAAGGATTATAGTTATTGCAAAAAGCTAAAATCAATAGAAAATTGAGATAATAGGTGGTAAGGGATTCAAAGATGATTCCTCATTTGATCTGAATAGATTTGAATTATGTACATGGACATTGGTTGAGCCACATTGGGGGGAAGTTTCAGTTAAAGAAAACAATGAGTTCAATGTGTTGTTGTTGCTGCACTGAATTTAAAGGAATCAAGTGACCTGATGAAAATGTCATGAAGGATTTTGAAATGTAGGCACGGATCGAATATGACATAGCATCTAGGCCTCTTAACCTGGTTGCCCTTCTCTTCCTAAGAAGCAAACTCCTTCTCTGTTTTCACTACCTTAGTTTATTACATCCACAGAAAGAGCCAGCAACCTTCAAACCAGCCTTAGATTGCTCTCTCTCAGGCCCTCCTGGCCTACACCATGTCTATCTTTTCCCTCTTCTCTTCTTTCCCCCTGCTACCTCCCCAAACTTCTACCTAGATTATTTCAACAACTTCCTAACTATTCCCCCTGGATCCAGGTTTTGAAAAATTCTTTACAAAGATGACTTGATCCCAAAGCCCTGAATTTCACCTCAGCTTCTCATCCCCTTTCTCTAACCATACCCAATATGTTGCACGTCAATTCCAGCTCACGGCAAACCACTGTGATGCAGAGCAGAGCCACTCCATAGGCTTTTATTAGCTGTACTCTTTACAGTATTAATTAACCATGGCCTTCTTCTGCAGTGCCGCTGAGTGTGAACTGCTAGCTATAGGCTAGCCTGTAGGCTTGTAGTCACGTGCAAACTGCTTGAGTTTACCAAGCCCTTTCCAGCTATACCCAAATGAAGCCAAACTCACTACTGTCAACTTGATGCCCATTCACAGAGACACTATAGGACCAGGTAGAGTTTCCCCCGTGGGTTTCTGAGACAAGAACTGTTCATAGGAGTCGAAATGCTGCTCTTTCTCCGATGGAGCTGGGAGTTTCCAACTGGAGACCTTGGAGCCAGCAGCCCAACACTAACCACGACACTACCAAGGTTCCAACTTGCCAGATACTGTATTATTCCAAACGCCTGTTGTCCTGGTGCTTTTCCTCCTAGCTGCCTTCTTTCCACTAACCTTACTGAAATGTGACTGTGGGATAACAAAGATATTCTGACTGAGAAAAGAACTACCTCGTGTGAGAAACAAACAAACAAACAAACAAAACAAAACAGCTTTCAAGTTTCAATTTATATGACGCCTTTCTCTCTGGGAAAATGTAGAGTCCCATTGGTTATCTTCCAGTCTGCTTTAATCTTAACCCCCAAACTCGCTGACTCATTGTCCTTCTATATGTGAAGCTAAACTAGTTGGCACATCTCTCCTTGAGGGCACGGACCTCCAGGAGAAGAAACACATCTTTCTCAGAAGTACAACCAGAATATTCCTTACAAAGGAGGATGCTCAAACGTCATCTCAGGAACATCTCACAGACGTATCATCAGGAGGAACCAGTCTGCGGAGAAAGCCTTCATGCTTTGCAAAGTGTGAGGTGAATGAAGACGAGGAAGACCCTTGACACGTCAGAGGGAGACATGGAAATGATGATCAGGACAGCAGAGGTCCAGGCAGTGCTTCATTCCGTTCTACACAGGGTGGCTAGGGGTCAAATCAATTTGAAGGCACCTAACAGCAATTCTTGAGCCAGAGTCTAGCATGCAATTTGTCACACCTCTTTCTGCGCTGGAAATGTGTCCACAGATTGCTTCCTTTGACCTCACGAAGATGGCTACAAGAGGGCATCCTTACGTGTCACGTCATCACGTGCGGAGAGGAGGGTGGGGCCCTCCAGGGAGCAGGAATGAAAGGGTGGGGCCAAGCAGGACGGGGCGGGGCCCTCCGGGGGTCTGGCCTCTTGTGCTATTTCCCCGACGCGCCGTGACAAGGAAGGCATCGAGGGCGTCGCGGGGAGCGTCCACTCGAAGCTCGGTTCCGAAAGTGTACGTCGAGACTGGGGGCAACCGCGTAGCCCAGCGGAAGCGGGTGGCACCCAGGACTTGCGGCCGGCGGCACCGGCGC